AAATCTATTTAGCTATAAATTAGTTAAAATTTCATTTCTGGTTCACTATGTTCTTACGCTCAACTTCAGCTTTTTTTTTTCCCCTATGATTTCTTATTCAGTTCGTTGCCTTTATAGGATAAATGCCAAAAGCAGGGATGAGATTTTTCTGTCATCTTGCTGGTGAAATCTGAGTTTTGGGGAAAATGCTACAATTTGGATGCAAGAGAAATTGTATTTTGGTTTGTTAACTTTGTAAGCCTTAAAATAATTCTGTAAGCCATTTGTTGAATTAGTGTCATTAAGTTCATTGCCATAAACTATTTGCATTGAAGCATCTTAGTGAAATGATGGATTTGCACAAATTACATTGTGAATTGTAATTTTCTTAAATTAACCCCATAGCAACTTGCTCCAAGTCCACCTACCCAACGACATCCAGGGGTACCAATAGTCTCTAAACCAGTCATGCTGCATCCTGACCCAAACTTTATGGTCAGGCCAACCATCAAATCAGAGGCCCTGGTAAGCCTTTTAATGTTCTTTTTCCGAGTGCTGCAGTACTGTGGGGTTTGTTGTTGACTTGTCCTCAAAGAATCAACACTTGTCTTGTGACCTGGTAACTAAAATTCATGTAGATGAACTAATCAAATGATCACTAATGGTAAGTACAAAAGGGTATTTTCCTTCCTTTTTTTTCATGATCTAAAAGTCACATGTGATGACAATTTTTGTACTGGGGTGCATAAATCCAGAGCAGTGCAGAGCCTTCAACTCCATTGATCTTTTTTCATTTATTCACATGCTGGTTTGTATTTTATAAATTCTGAATTCCTTCGTCAAAAATGGAATAGTAAAAATTAATTACACTGTATTTTGCCTTTGTAAATAGCCGTGAACATACTTGAAATGTAGATATATAACTCATAATTTCATTTCCACAGGAAGAAAATGCATTGTTGTAGCTTAGACTCCAGCGTACTGGTCATGCAGTGCTACTGCAAAGTTGACTCACAGTCAGATTCTTTTTCTTATTTCTTTTCCATTTCTATTTCAAATGTAAATGAAGAAAAAACCCTTACACTAAATATTTTAGAACCAGTCATGTAGCATCTTTGGAAATTGTGGTATATGAGGGGAGGTGAGCTAAGGCTTACTGAAATACTGCTCTAACAGGTGATAGCTCCCAAATGACACCCTTGAAAATTCATCTAAGATAACTGATGGACCAATTACTAGTATTTATTCTCAAGGGTCATCTTGACTTATGCTGTTACAGTTAGAGTTGTGTGTCTGTTACATGCATGTGTGTGGACATGTGTGAATATGGACATTTATATGAGCAAGGCAGTGTATTGTAATGTGAGATTTCTAAGTGATGGAAAATACATCACATTTGCATTTCATTTATTTAATTACAAGCTTATGCTGTATCTGACAATAAATGATGGGCACAATATTTCTAGCTGTCTTTGATTAAAGTGGGATGGATATTTTGTCATTTTCTGCTTTAATAATTTAGATACTCTTGTTCCTTTATTTTCCTAGTTACCGTCTGAACAAATTTTAGTGATGCTTAGTAACCAGTTTTCCCACAGATACAGTCATCTTGAAAATTCTATGTTGTAAACGGATTGAAATGATGAATGAAAGCAGTTTTTATAACTTGCTCAAGAGAAGGCAGGTGCACAAACTGAAAAAATTCAAATCCCTCCAGTGTAGATATTTCCTTCAGTTGTATGCATTGGAGCTTTGAAGCTTTCATTTTGATTGTGCTCATTAATTCAGCATCTCCATGCAATTTGAAATTCCTTAGGGGAGGAATGAACAGAGTAAAATCATAATCTGCAGTTAATATATAATCTAGCTCTTGAAAATAAAAAACTGGTATGCAAATATAAACTGGTTCGCAAAATTGATAATACCCTTATGGGTAATCAGACAGTCTTGGTACAAATTGAAATTTTTGTTTGTGTTTTTTGTTACTGACTGCTTACAATTAGTTTGAGAAATTGGCAATGAGATCCACCTCCATAGGGAAATTTCGTATCATTTGTTATGCATGCATGCACATTTTCCAAATCACAAGTCTGGTAAAATATTTCAGATGGCAGCAATCTTCATTCACTCTGAAGGTGGTGAGGCACTGGAACAGGTTGCCCATAGAAGTCATGGATGCCCCATCCATGAAAGTGTTCAAGGCCAGGTTGGATGAGGCTTTGAGCAACCTGGTGTAGAGGAAGGTGTCTCTGCCCATGGCAGGGAGGTGGGAACTACATGATCTTTGCGGTCCCTTCCAACCCAATCCATTCTATGATTCCCAAATTGCCTTCTATTAGTTGGAAGATCACAATTTCGGTAGGAGCAATGTTCTGATAGGACTTTGAGAGAAACATCAGTCTATAAATTATTTTTATAGGTCTATTACCTCTTACTTCCTTTTGTAACTTAATGCAGAAAAGACTGTTCATCCTGGCTGCAATGAAGTCACATAGTATGTGCAGTAAGACTTGCATGGATACTGAAGTAGAGAGGGAGGCTACTTCTGTTAGTTAAAAAATGAAAAGGCCAGTGTATGACAGAAGAGACAAGAAAGTACCTGCCTGTTTCCAGAAACATATAAGAGTTATAACTTGATTTCATGCAGAAGGAATGTGTTTTGTTTGTTTGTGGGGGATATGAGGAGGTGAAGGGTGTTCCTTATTTAAGTCTATGGTTCAGATACAGGACCAGTTCAGCTTCTCTTAGCAAAGGGAAGTATCACCAAAGGCAAAGTATCTTTTTGCTACCCTCTTTCTTGTCTTGTTAGATTTCACAAACCTTATGGAACTCCAGCCTTTATGTCTTAATATGACACAGTGCACATGATTTCTTCTACCTTGCTTTTATCTGAATGTTTGGTCTAGAGTACCAAACTCTCGAAACTGATCTTGATGGATTTACTTGGTACAAACAACTAATCAAGTGAGCCTATACTCTAGCAATTCACTAGTAAAGAAGATAAAAAACCATGTACATAAGAATAAAATAAAAATGCAAGAATGGGTAAAACCTTCCTGTTATCTGGAAGGTTCTTGGGCCAGATAGGAATAATGAAGTCTCTGTTACGACTTAAGCCTTCATATTAACTGAATTCAGGTCAGAATTCCCAAGTCTTTTGAACAGTTCATGAAAATGAAATTGTTCTCGCTTATAAGTAGGGAAATAATGGGTGAGGATTAAACCTTGAGTGTGGCCTTGAATGCCTAGAGCAGCTGTGGGTCAAAATCAGTGTGAACTCTTTGTCTCTGCTGTACTAGAGTGAATTGGAATACACTTGTGGCAAAGCTAATGAAATTTTGGCTGAGAACAGGAGAGGATTGCTGTGATTTAGTGGTTGGGTTTTCAGAGAAGTGAAACTAACATAAACATTAGTCTCTGCTCTCCCAGCTATCACAAACATCCTGTTGATGCACTTGCTCTTAAAGATTTTTCCTCTATCACTCCTCTGTGGTTGGATGCAGCATTTCTGAAAGGAAGAATGAATATTTAAACTTTCCTCTAATTTGCAAGATTTGAAGCCTGATTCTTCAAGTCTGCAGTCAAGAGACCTGAGACAGTCACTTAGATACTGTGTAGTAAGACGTGCAATGATTAGAAATTTCAGTTATTATTGGCCATAGCTATATCAAAACTATCTTTGTTGAAAAGGAATTTTTTTTTTCTTCCTAAGTGACTAGAGGGCTGAGGAGTTTTGTGGAAAATCATGCCAGACTTGCCCAAAAGTCCTTCAAGACAAAAACTCAGTCTTTATATGAATTAAACACAGACCACAAATCTTTCATTAGCTCAGGAACAGATATGTTTTTTCCAAGTAATCGTATGACTATAGGACACTGATAGAATCAGTAGTGAAACTGATACCTTTGTTCCAAAGCAAATTGAGTTTGGAAATGTAAATACCACAGTTTAGTCTTTAGCAAGTTGTTCTTGTTTCAGAAGACTCAAATACTTTAGTTGATTTGATGCTGGGTTTTGAGTAGAGGCTGGAGAGGTGTAGGGAGTGTTTTGGGTTTTGTGGGTTGTTTTTTTTTTGTTAGCATATTTTATGTTTGAAAATTTTTGCAACATAATAAGAGGTTCTGTATTATTACGTGATTCCAAATGATAGTGTACTATCTTGTTAATGCACTGGAAGCAAAAGAAAAACAGAATTAATATGGGATTAAAATCGTTGAAGCCCAACACAATATAATAAAATCCAGCAATTATTAATCAATGTTGTGAAATTACTAGTAGATATCCGAATTGAAGAAAGACCACTCAGAAATAAGTCAATTAAATTCAGGAGGAATTTTTCTTTATGTAGCATGAACCGCTACTAGTAATTAGTATTTAGGTAATTGGTTCTTTCAGGATGAGCCCAAATACACATCTCTTCTTTCACGTTATTAACTTTGTGAGGAATGTAATAATGGATTCACCTTTCAGTGTAGGATGTTCCCTGCTAGGAGAGCAAATCTTAAATGTGTAACATATGTTTATCATGACTTTTCAATATTTTTGAAATTACTTGTCTAGCATTTTGTCCTTTTTTTTTCTAACTATTTTTTCAAAAATCATGGAGTAGAGACCTCAGCACTGTTCTGTAGAAATTAGGGATAAAAGGAGTTATGGAAACTATTTTTAAGAAATGTTATGTGCATTATTTATGTAATTTCTCTAGAATTCTTTCCTCTTTGTATTCAGTACTATTTCACTACGTGTGTTCTCTCATTTTGTAATGGTATAGGGAACAAGCACTAACAAGCGCAAGTGCGATTCAGTCCCTAGAAGAGCAAAAAAAGCAGTGAGATTGTTTGTGAGTAGGTGATACTTATTTACAGCAAAAAGTTAATATCTGGTTTGGCGATTTTAATGATTACCATAGAATCATAGAATCATTTTCTTTCTTTTTCAGCCACAAGAGATGTTTAAAAGGATGGTGGTTTACAATTCATCATTTAGATCTAACAAAAAACAAGTAAAATAACATTTTTCCATGTTTTGTGTGGTACTTCTTGTTTTGAGTGGTGCTTCTTGTTTTGAGTGATCACAGATTTAAAACTTTCCTTTCTAATCCTGTTGCTCAGTTTCTAAAACAGAGGCAGCCCTAGTGCATGAAAACTGCTGGTCTTTGTAAGTTTTCAGTGTGCGCCTGTGGCTCCTGCTGGTCTAGATGGATGAAGAATGAGACGGTAGTAAATCCTTCAGGTTGAACCATCTGTGACTGTTTATATGGTTAGTGCAATCTTTAAGACAGTTGAAGACGGATAACTGATCTGATACTGGCAAATCATTTTTTTTAATATATGCCTAAGGTTTCCTTTTTCTTTTAGTATCCAGTTGCAATGCTTTCAGTAATAAAATATTTTCTTAGTTTAACAAATAGAGCTATTATCGTAACATAGTTACTGGTAGGAAATCAGAGGAGCTAGTGGTGGAAAGCAGTTAGTCATGTAGCCTTTCTGTATTGTGTATTCTGTTGTATTACTACTTTTATTCCTTTCCTCTGTCATAGTGATGAAGTTTTCATCTCTTTCTCTCTAGTTGACTGGTGGTTCATTGGATGATCCCTTGAAGAAGTGAACTTTGTGCTTAACTTCTCTGCTGCTGTTAAATGTGCCAGTTTCTGTGCAAAACACCTAAGTTAGATGCGTTTCCAAGTTATATGAAAATGTTGGCACACAGTTGTGAGCTTTTGAGTGGTAAACTGTAAATATTAATAATGAATTTTTTCTTCTTTTGATCAGTTTCAATCTATATCTAGAAGGGAAAACTGAATTTGACTGAGAAATCAAACTTTGAGATTGTTGAATTGTCATTGAATGTTAGTATATTCTGCATATATAACAGTTGTGTTCTCAGCAAATGTGTTTTTTTGAAAATTCTGTTATATCTGGACATGAATTTCTCTTTTAATTCTTCTCTTTTGTTTATTTCAGTCAGGTCTCAATTGCTATTAACTATCAATGCTAGAAACTTCAGTGAGCAGCCCCATTTGTTTAGGTGCTTGTGGGTTTTTTTGGTTTTTTTTTTCCTTTTTCTTTTAAGTAGTAACTTTACCTTTCATCTTGAAGTCCAGACAGATGTTTCAGTGCAATCAAACGTCTTAATGTTCCAGATTTTACTTATATTCAGTCCTATGAATTTTATTGTAAGTCAAGAAAGGATTAGAGTTGTCTTAACTCTTTCACCTGAGATGCCCGTAGTAGAGGGAGGGTCAGCACAGCACTGTGGTTTCCCCTTGGTGTTGCTTGGTTCCTTAGTCCCCGCTTGGATATGGAGTGTGCTCTCTGAATTTGTGATGCCCATTTCTGGGAATGTTTATTACAGTTCAGTGGATGTCTTCATTGTATCATAGCTGTATTTGTACATTATTGGATCCAGATCCTATCACTTCTTTGCTTGCAGGTTTTTTGTTGGGGAGTTTTTAGGAGTTGTTTTCCTGTTTAGAAATTAGTTTCCCAGGAAAACTTTCTTCAAGGTCAACATCTGTTTTTCATGAGGATGACCTGGGACAAAGAGAGTTCAATGTCTTCCTTTAGATTACATAATGAGTTAGTGACTTGGCTGAGTCTGGAGTTCTTTCCTGTAAGTTGCTTGCTCCAAGACCATAGACGTCTACTTCAGCTGTGATTCCAAAGGTTAATATAAATTCAACTATTCAAACTAATAGTTGTTTAGGTAGATATCATTGTGAAATGTTTATCTTACAGTATTAGCAAAGTTATTCTTAATACATTTCGTAAATGAATGAATTGTTGGTGTTTTTCCCCAAGATTAAATCCTACCCTCGCTGAAGTTTGTGATCAAATTCCCATTTATTTAGTTCTTCAAAGCTAGCAGTTAACAACTGTAATGTAACTTATACTAATTTAAATGCTAGGTAAGTCTTTCATGTTGGTGTTCCCAAAAGATGCTTTTAATACCTATTTCCCTATGAAAAAAAAACCAAAAAAACCCACCCTGCTTGTGGCAGTAAGCAAAAATTCTGCAGTTGTGCCCTGAAGATTTAGCTCTCTGGATCCTGGGAAGACAAAGCCATGCTTCACCCCTTGTAAATGTTTCTCTTGTCTCAGAAGAAACACAGGATGAGGACATGATTTGCTCAAGTCGGTCTTCTGATCTCAGGGAAAAGATGAAGCGAGAGGCAGCGTGCAGGAAAGCTGGGGTTCATGCTGTACGATTCAGTATGCCTGATTCTTATAGCAGCCTTCCAGTACAAAAAGGGGGCCTACAAGAAAGCTGGAGAGGGACTTTTTTAAAGTGCATGTATTGATAGGACAAGGGGCAACGGCTTTAGACTGAAAGAGGGTAGATTTAGATTAGATCTAAGGAAGAAATTCTTCACTCTGAGGGTGGTGAGGCACTGGAACAGGTTGCCCAGAGAAGTTGTGGATGCCGCATCCCTCAAAGTGTTTAAGGCCAGCTTGGTTTAGCCTTTGTGCAACCTGATGTAGTGGAAGGTGTCTCTGCCCATGGCAGGGGGGTTAGAATTAGATGATCTTTAAGGTTCCTTCCAATCCAAACCTTTCTAGGATTATATACCAGAGGAACCTTAAGCTGTGCATTTGATTTACAAGTGGAAAAAGGCTGAGTCAAGTCTGAGAGTGGAATAGGCTTTGTCATTAGATGGATCCAGTAGAAATGAGGGCAATAATGAATATATCAAGCCTGATCACACACCAAACCTTTGGCCTGTGTCAGATAATGGCTTGCCTGCTGTTTCAGCAAATGGTTGTATGGTTCTGTGTTGTTCCCCTATCCCCAGGTTATTACAGCTTGAAGCCACAAGAGCGATACAGCATTTAGATGCCTCAGTAAAGATTTCTGTTAAGTCCTGAAGTCCTTACTTTAATGGGCAGGATGAGTGCAGAATTTTTATAAATCTCCAGCATTGCCCATACAGTCTCACGCAGTAACTCCTAATTTTCCTCAAGAAACCACTGCCCAAACACCATTAATTCCCAATTGCTGACTAAGGAACTCTCATCTTTGCAGAAAAGGTAACTCTTGCTTTTTCCCCTGCAGTGTTGGCCTGACAAGGATAATGCACTAGGTTTTGAAAGTCTAAGAAGGTGTGGATCCTCTCAAAACTTAAACCTTGCTCTACCAAAGCGCGACATTATCTTTCCCATTTCAGATACTCCCTGCCAAAACTTTTAAGTCCTCCACAGAACAACATGAAAACAAAATCAGTTCTTGTCCTGCATTCGCTTGTGGTATGGAACCAACTCCCTGAAACTTCATGGAAAGGAGGAGAGAAGGAGGCTGGAAGAGGATCCTACAACCCAGACACCATGGAGTAGTGTTGCTAGAGGCAAATTGGAGTCTGCCACTTCTGCCTCTGTTAGATAGTGCCCAACATGGTGATAGTCCCAAGGAAGGTTGCTCAGAAGACTATGGCAGAACATACCTTCCCATGATGCTTTCAAGATTTGTTTCTCTTCTGTCAGGTGTAGAGAGGAACCGTGGACCTGACAGAGTGGTAAACCATTCCTCAAAATTGCTCCATAGCATGACCAGCTCAAACTGCTGTTCTGTCCTAAGGTTTTGAAATGTCTTCTGACTGTCAGGATGGACTATTTGCTTCCTTTCTGTACTTTTCTCCATTTATTGTCTTCTTTCATAGCTTACAGAATTATATGTTCTCTCGCTAATAAATAAAATGGAGTTTGTGTGTTAAGTATGTGCATGACCCTGATTGTTTTACAATAAGTATTGTTTTATTCTCAGGGCTTCCAGAAATATTTGGAAGATTTTGATCCATATTCAATGGTAAGGAGAGAATTCAAATATGTCTCACTGTTTAATATGCAATACACTGGAAAAAACACATCCTTGATTCTGAGGGCTGGGAGGAGGGGGTGAGATTCTTGCTTGTTGGTTTGCTGGGGCTTACATATTTGTGATTTCTAGTCATGTTGAAAGGGAGCTTTCTTACGGGAAGAGAAGATGTGATGTTCTGATCTTCCTCTAAACCTGTTTTGGAGGAGGAAAATGTCCCTTTTCACCCATAAACTACATAGATCAGCCTAATTGTTTTTTGTTTCCAAGGTGGAAATGGCTAATCGTTATATCTTTTCATAGTTTACCCCAGAGCAGATTATGGGAAAAGATGTACGGCTATTACGGATTAAAAAGGTAAATACTGTATTATTTGATTGATGTTTAAAGCATTCATGTAAGCATTTCTTGTACAGTCCTTCCTGGGAAGGAAATATCAAATTCTTGTATTTTCTTCCTGGGAAGGAAATATCAAATTCCTCTTGATGGCAAAAATTAACAGCCTCTTCTGAACTAAAACTCTTTTTTAATAGGAAGGATCATTAGACCTTGCAGTCGAGGGAGGAATTGATTCTCCAATTGGAAAGATAGTCGTGTCTGCCATCTATGAGGGTGGTGCTGCAGACAAACACGGTGAGTAACAGTGGGGAATTTGAATGCTACTGCAAAGGAGCTCCTTACGCTGGCTGAGAGTTGTTGGCTGAATTCATACCTATGCCTGCCGAGGGGCATGCGTAGATTTTCCAAGGCAGCCAAATTCTGTCTCAGCTCTAAGGGCAGCTCAGAGAGAGACTCATGGTTTGAAGGGTGCTGCTTCAATTAATAATTATATAAATTTTATAAATAGTGTTTAAGAAGAAATGGTTGCTGTTGCTATATTTTTATCATAACAGAATTTTCAATAATGTGGCCTGAAAATGTAGGGCTGTTGTCTTAATAAAGACTCTCGTTTTTCCTCTCTAATATAAAAAAAACAAACAAACACAAGACTACCAACATCTGATTCTCTGGGATATTCTGTTAATTAACGAAAGCAGAATATGATCTCCATTATTTCACAATTTCCAAGTAATGACAGTTGTAGTACTTCTGATGTGCAAAGCAATTACTAGACCATGACTACACGACACTGCTCAGTTTTGTTCTTGATGCTACTTTGAATAGTAATTTGTTTTGTAAAACTTCTGGCTTTACTTGCAAAATCCTACTAAAGGCCAGATCCTTCTGACTGACAGCTTAGCTCTCTGGAAGGCACAAGAATGTGCAAACCAACATATCCAGGTTTTGCTTCTGGTGACCAGTATCTCTCATGCTTGCCTTGAGAACTCTGATGATGACCAGGTAGATGGACAAGACAATATCTCCTTACTGTGTCTTTGCTGACCTTGTCCCAGCCTGCACCTAAGTTCAAGTCAGTCTTCCTGTGAAAACATCTTAGCCACTTGATCTCAAGTACTCTGTTTCTCTTTGACTCTTCGCTCTTGTGGGGGTCTCTAATAGCGAAGGCTGTCCTCTTACCATCTGTGTTTTCCCATCTTCAAATCCAGCCTCAGTTAGCTGGTTGTGCTCCGTTCCAGATTAGCAAGTCAAGATCAGTTCTAAGGACTAAACATTACACATGCTTTTGCAAAGGAATGACAGTCCTGCAGCCCCTTGGCAAATGCCAGTTACACCTTCAGGTATTTAAGTAATGCCGTCATGTTCACAGTAGTGACAGCAAGCAATCCACCACAGTTTGTAAGCTCTATAGATGGATTACCCAGACAGGCAAACTGCTACTACAGAAGATCTTACTGAACTAGGTTCTTACTGGTCATGATCAATAAGAAATTAGCATGGCTTTTCCATGCCTAAAAATTCCTTTTGCTTTTGCCTGTAGAAAACCTTCTTGTCTGTGTTAACGTTTAGTGTAAGCCTTCACATCTAGTGAAGACACTTTTCATTATACTCAGTACTGCATAAATGTGGGATAGAAAAGACTCACAGATTTGTTTGGGTTTTTTTTCCTTACATGTACATATACCATATTGGTCTTTTCACCAGGAGGCATAGTGAAAGGGGATGAAATACTAGCAGTAAATGGCAAGATATTAATTGATAGCAGACTGGCAGAAGCACAGGCAACCCTAGCAAAAGCTTGGAACGTGGGTGGGGTAAGTAACCTGGAATACCTTTTTGTTCTACCTACAATGCTCATATAAGGTACACTTTTCTTTCATGACATTGTCATGTCAGCACAAATAAGGTTACAAACGTCAAAAGTAACAGGTACGCCATGTACTACCAGAGTGAGCTGAAATCTGCAGAAAATATTGGCATGTAGCATCTCTGAAAATGATGCATGTGATTTCCTTGAATGTTCATGGCATTTAGCCACATGTCAAGATTGGTGTTTAAACACATTACATTCTGAGTGTTTATAGTACAGTTATCTGTAGAATCTCTCTTTGGTACTGAAAATGACTTGCAAGCTGATTGGAATTTTATGATAATAGCTTATCTTATCTTTGGTTTCTTAATGTACAAATAATGCTGCACTTCAGTTACATTGAGTGTTTTCTCAGCAAGAACTGAATCAATTGCTAAGATGACCAAATACAGGATGATTCTTAGAATAATTATTATTAAAAGCTGCTTGCATGACCAGTAGATTTTTCTTTAATTTCAGAATACAAATCAAACATCTCAACCTTGAAATGGTCTTCCTATAGAAGAGGAAGATCTCTTTCATAGAGATCTTTCTGCTGCTTCCTGTATTTTTTCAGGAATAGATTGCCTTCCTGATTCTCTGATATTCCTTGGTGGTCCACTAACCATCTGTAAAAGCGGTATTTAGCAGCACATGTTTGTGCATTTCTTTTTCAGGATTGGATTGACTTGGTCATTGCAGCATCACCTCCAAAGGAATACGATGATGAAATGTAAGTGCATAAGCTTTCTTTCCCTGGGGATTAAAGTGCCAGTAATAGTAGTCTATACAGTTTAAGGGTTTTCTTATTCAGACACATTTCAAGTATTTACTTCTTGTGGACTACATAACCTTCTGCATCACGTGGTTGCTAATTTGACAGTTATAAGTAGCTATCAGCAATGGTTCCCAGACTTTTCAAAATGATGATTCTCAAAATTGGTTGTATGTGACTACACACATATACTTTCTACTTTCAGTTTAAAGTTTGAGGATTTTTCACTTGTGGGGTTTTTTTTGGGTGGGTTTTTGGGGACTATTTTTTTTAGTAGTGGCTTTTTTGTGGTTTTTTTAAATTGCTTACTTCAGTCTGGATCATTTGCTGTGGTCCCACAGATCATAATTTGGGGAAACAAATGCCCATAAGTATTCGTCATCACAAGCAGACGTTTAATTCTGTTTTGTGGGTTTTAAATTGCAGTTATTAGCCTTGTCTAAGCCAATCTAAGTGTAAAATTTTCTAAAGAGCTAAGTAATTTGAGTGTCTTGGCAATTTGTGACATTCACAGAGTCCTTCTTTTAAAGATAATCAGCATAGGTGTGAAATGGAAGAATCCATGGCTTGAAGTGTGATAGAGGTATCAAGTTGATACAACTTGCTTTACTTTGGACAAACGCTTTCAAAAGCAATACCAATGTTTTCTAGTTTGAGTGAGGAAAAGATTTGAAGATATCCTTACTACTGAGTAAAATGGCAGAAGAAAGTTTCATAGTCGTTGTTAACCCAGACTCTTGCTCTATGTAGAATACTAGAGTATCAGGTGCTGTAAATCAGTATAGTTTTACTGGCTAACACCAAGAGAAGATTGCCATGAAATTGTGTGTAATACCTGTGCATAAACTAACAAGCAAGGAAATAACTGTCACTGTTATTTTTGTTTTCATATCCTGTATATTTAGCCCTACTATTTCCTCATCAACAGTCAGTCCCAACACACACAGAAAGGTTTTTGAAGGCAGTGCACCCGTGTACAGACAAGGGTATCTCCTGCAGCTGTAGCCACTGCAGTGTTCCCTCATGGTGAATAGCCAGACCTGGGTTAACATGGCTGTCTCTTGTGAGGCTGTGTTATTTTTTCAGCATGTGCCTGGCTATGCATTGCATGCCACGCTTGCTTTTGTTCCTGGCATGCGGGAGTGTTCTTTGGGCTTTTGCCATGCCTGTCCTATTAAACTATAAGTATTTAGTTTCTACTTCATAATGTCCCTTAGAGGTCCTCTGCAGAATTGGTTTATCATCTGCCAGACTATGAAATAAATAGGCCCTGCCTAAACAAGAAGGTTTAATTGAATTTTTTTTCCTTATCTGTGGACCACTGCTGTGGCTTTGTGAATTCATAAGTCTATAAGTAACTACAAATTGCTTCCTTGTTAAGGCTTGTCCAAAGAACAAGTTTCCATTCGTATTATATGACATTGTGCCTGTAAACAAGTATTCGTGACTGTTTGGTTTTCACTGAAGTTTGCCTGGGTTAATTTGTCGCTATACAATGGGTTTGTCCCCAAATTATCCTTGTGTCACAAATTCAGTTCACTGTGTATGTACTCTGTGTATGTACAGTTACTGTACATACAGTACAATATTGTACATACAATTCAGTTCTCTGTGTATGTACAGTTACTCTGTACTATAATTACTACACATACAGTCACATATCTCTAGGAGAACCAAGATAGTATTTCTTATTGCATGTGGGTATTTGTGGTCTTCTAAATTATTGCTTACAATACAAATCAAAATGAGTCAACTGGGATCTTGTTATAAAATTGTGTTTACCAGGAAGACTAAAAATTGCACTACAGCATCTGTTTAACTATCTCTCTCTCATTTGTTTTCTGCAGGACGTTTTTTTAAAGAAGGCTACACTGGAGAAATGAAGTCTTTCCCCTGCTGAAACCTTTTCTGTAAATTAAAAGGAAATCAATAACCCCATGAAACGCATCTTTTTTTTTGAAAGAAATGTGAACCATCAGACGTGTACATTGAACTAGAAACTTCAGATTCTTCAGGTAATTTAACTAATTTCAAATCATCCTATGGACATACAGCAAGAAGTTTTTGCACAATCATTGAGAAGGACTGCCGGTGAGCATAGCTTGGTCTGTGAGAACTCAATCTATTTTTTGCTGTTTTGGGGGGCCAAATTTTGAAAACTATCTTCCAATTTTCCTGGAAATAGAGACCGAAATGACAAACGAAGATAGAACACAGATGTCTGTTCCCACATGCAACACTTGTGATTACACGTTCACAGGCCAGTTTGGGTGTGAAAAGGATTATATTTTTACTCCATACATAGTGATTTTCCATGAGGAAATGGGAATATATATATATATGTAACTTCTGTTCTTGCTCATATTCTTGTAGTTCTCTTCGTGTCCATTTCTGTTGCTCAGTTGTGAGTTGTTTTGAGTATAAAAACTCTGTCAGTGGGAGAACCAGTAATACTAGGAGCGCTAGCACTATAAGGAATAATTTTGGTGATGCTTACGTGGTATAAACAATCCTCTCAACCAGTAAAAGTAAATAGCTAGCAAGTAGTCCAGATAAAATCATCATGTGTAGTGACAGTTATACTATTGAGTATTTGTATTGGTGGCACAAATTACTCCCTTGTATAGTCATAGGTGGAAAATTTGGGTGTCATTCACAGCCTGCAGTTATGTACTTTGTTCTCAGTGAGGCTATATACATGACTAAACTCTACAAGAAGTCACTAAGTGTAGCGCTTTGGTTTTGGTGACTATGTGTCTTCTGCTTAAGTAAATTCCTCAAGACCATAAAATCTATACTATCCTGACTTTAAATAAGTATGATTATGGTTGTAGACTTAGTAATTTCTTTGTTATCAAGATATTTTCTTAGAAATGTCATTGTCTTCTTTCCTTCCTTGATTCTGCCAGTTTTTATTCTGTTTATCACATCGTGTTTAGATTTTTTTCTTATGTGGACTAATGAGAGTCAGTTTATAGTTCTTTGGCATGTCAAATTCCCACTGAAGTCTTGCCTTTTCAAGGTTTGGAAACCCTCCTTTCTGTGACACAGAAATGTAACAATTATGTTCCTGAGAACTCTGTATTTATATGGAGATGATTAATTACGTTGACTTTCTTCATTTTCAGTATTGTTCCAGTATGCCAATTAATGTGTTTGGCAGTGGACACATGTTAGAATGTTTAAAATTTTAACTCTCATAATTAATCCAGAAATAAAATTGCACTTGCCAAATGGAAGAAGTCTTGTTTCCTCTTTGCCTCTGGGTTCGTACATCACAGTAATAGTTAATCTGCTAGAACACACGGATTTCTGAGTTGATCTTTAATAACAAACCCATTTGCAACAGAATGCCACCCTTGTGGAATTTAAAAGAAAATTCACTCTGCACAGTAGGGAATTGTCACTCAGCTGAGCTGCAGTAATCTTCTAATGTGTTTTTATGGGCAAATCTGGTCATTTGATAGTTGGCAAGCTACTTGAGTGCAGCTGCTCCAGTTTATTTCATATGCTAGGTCTTTGGGTGCATCTACCCAGAGCTGTAGACTTCCTAACCAACAGACTAATCCAAATGCATCAAGATTAGCACCAGAGGGAAAACTGCAGCAGGATGTACTCCTCCTGCTGCTCTGGTTCCCAGTTGCCTACATACTGCAACCATCTGGACTGTATGACAATGCAGATAGATGAGTGATGCTATCAAATGTTCTCTTAAGGGATGCTCTGATGCTATGTACCAGCAAATAGAGCGCCACAGTAATGCACCAGTAATGAACTTCAGCCTGCAATCAGTGCCTGATTGTGCAAAAAACTGTCTCAGTGCTCTAAGAAACATAACACAGAAAAAAAACATGAAGGTTAGGTATTAGAAATATTTTTACTGGTGTAATTTTTTTCAGAGACAAAGGGAGCACTGAAGACTAAGATGGGAAATCTGTGGGAGTATCAACAGTTGAATTGTAGTCTTGCTTCTTAGTCACAAAAACTATCTTTCTTCTCCCCATCAACCCTGTTAACTTGAGTTGCTTGGGTGCAGCTTAAAGTGCATGAGAGGCAGTTAAGGAAATAATTACTGCTTATTACTTCATGTATATAAGAAAGTGCTACTTTGTGTGTTTAACCTGTGTTAGGATGGCAAAGTTGCTTTAGGTAATGTAAGGAGGTGGTGTTAGAAAAAAGGAGACTGACGCTTCTGAAATCTCATAGTGATCTTAAGCCATTAGTCAGGTAGTTTTTTACTTTATTTGTGGCTTTTAGTACCATGGAACTGGATCACATCTTTTATTTGCCACCTAGCTCAAAGAGTTTGAGAAAGCTACAAGAAAATAACAGTTTTACAAGAAAATAAGTTTTCAAGCAACTTCCCTTTTAGTTACTTTGGTGCTTGTGAGCAGAGTGTCCCAGATGTGAGTCATTTAAACAGACGCCCATCTGAGTTGCTACTGCGTTGTTTTCTGGTGGCTGTAGTAGTCAGTGCATGTGCCCGTGCCTCACCCCTGTTCAATCAAGCCGGCTGTGAAAAGACAACGGTAGGGTAAATGGGACTTTCTCTTTTTTCCAGCCAATGCGTGGTTTCCTTTGGGAGTGTGGAAACTCTGACCTGATGCACAAAGCAGGAAGAAGTCCAAGTACTTCACTGACAGTATCATGAATGCTTCAAACTGCTTTTAACATAAGATGGTTTTGTTTTTCATTCGCTGTAATCTCAGAGGGAATATGTCCAGTTTCTCAGAGCTGTTTGTTTGGTTAAGACCACTAAGACCCAGTATCTCTCTCTATGGGATAATAAGCCAGAGGAAGAGTTTCTCAGAACTGTTAACAATCATTCTTATTCTCTCAGGAATTTCTTGGCCATGTTAGTCACAGCGTTGTCTTCAGCATACCCTCACAGTTGCTGAACTGGAGCATGAATTACATTAGAGACTTGTGACTTTCACATCTGCTCTGTGAGCCTGTGC